AGATCCTATAATACGACGAGAAAATCATAAGTGGAAACGAGGATATGGAGATAACGGAAGAAGTTTCGCTGGAACAGGAAGATGAATTTGATCAAGCTTCGATGAAAATCAGTACGCCACCAGTAGTTAGTCACCAGACTGAAATGATGAGCATCGGAAAACCAGAACAAATCGGAGGTGTATTATTTTCAAATTATTTTTAGTAAGACTTTACTCAACCTAATATGTGAAGAAGGACAGGAAGTGTGATCATGAAGATTAGGTCACGTATGAACAGATGAAATTGGGAAAAAACGTCTTCAAAATGGTTTCCACCACGTCATTTGTTGTGTCATTCGTTTTACCTTGCCAATCTCTTAATAATGGAAATACTGAGAAGAGAAAAGAATGAATGAGTGTACCGTACATCTAGGATGTTATCGCCAGGATAGAATTGCTTTTATTTTGACATTTCTTAAAGGAGGGTCATAATTTTTTCCTTCTTTGCTGATCATGATTCGTTAACTTTGAGATCAAAGAAGATAAAAGGCAATTTGGCTTAAAAGATTATGAAAAGTGGAACAGTTATATCAAAGTTCTTGTACAAATAAAAAAAAACAGCATTTCAGATACTGATGGGGACGGCGATGCTGCTCGTACCGATTATAGTGATTCCATTCAGTCTTCGGATATTGGCAAGTTAACTGAGAATTTTTCGGATCGTTAGACTATCGAATTACGTATTACAGGAAGGTTTTTTCCGGTGATGGGTCATACGTTGCAAAGACCTGAAATGTTTTGCCTATTAAAGATGTTACATTCCTAAACCTAACCCATCAGTTATGAGGAAGTTTTTTAAAAACTTACAACTCCGGATTCTTTTGAATAAATCACAAATTCTTAGTTAAGAAACTACATTTCAGCTAGTGAAGAGTCCACCTCAACACATCGTATGCTTACTCGTTCTGCAGCCAAAGGTAGTCACAGACATTGAAATATTTTGAAAAAGTTTTGCTTTTCATATATTTGAACCAGACGTGATTTCATGAACTGATCCCTTTATCAACCAACTCTGTTAATGCTATCTCTGCATTTTATGATCTTGAGCTTATCACATCCACATCTTTCCGTAGTCAATAAATGGATCTTAGCTGTAAGTGGAACACCTCAAAAATCTGCATGGTAATTTACGTCTACCGTAATTTCGCCTTGATTTTCTGCTAAGGAAATGTATTTCAAAAAAAAACCACTTTAGCCGCTAAAGCAGCATCTCAGTCAGCGGAAATTATGAAAACACCGAAAAAACGTAAGAGAAGTGGAGCGAGTTCAACATCGAGTGGCGATGCAACATCAACACGTTCTGCTCGAACTATGTTAGCTAAAAGTAAGTTGAAGAAATTGAAGCTGCGCTGGTTTAAATTCTTTAATTTTATGCTTTTATTGAAACTCACGTCCTGTTCGTTTTCTCCGATAAATTATGGTTCTCCTAAATCACGAAATTTGGATATAATGTTGATAAGTACAAATTTTTACTTCTCCTTCCAATGTTTAGTTTAACCTGAATTCCAGAATCTGATTTTTGTCTCACCCATCGTAATAGTTTCTTACAGTCAACTTTTTAGCGGATATTGCTTGCTCATGTAGTTATTGCTGAAACTTGCATACAATCAGTTCAGAAAAAGTAAAAAATATAGACGTTAAAGAGAAATGAAGCGCTGACACTGATTACTGTGAGAGTGAATCAAAAGTGAATGATAATTTCAGCAAATCTTATAATTATGGTTAAAAATTGCAATCGAAAATTTATTTTGGCTTCACTCATATGTTTGAAATATTAGTACCATTTGAAAGGTCAAATAGTTCCATTTCTGATCAAGTTTTCTGGAACTTTCTTACAGTTCTTAATCTTTGAACTTTCAGAGATGGCAAAGAAACCAAGACATTCACGCACGGGCCACAAATAAGATTCCCTGATTCTACTGAACGTTTTTCCTGAAAAATTCCTTTTTCTAATATTCCAAATTTCAATTTTAATGTTCTTTTATCTCAAAAAAATATTGCTTTATTTGTAATCTTGAGACAACTTATCACCTCCCTTATTGCCTTCCTTTTACTTCCAACCTTAAGTCTTCCACCCTGTCTTGTTTTGTAATATTTTCACTGAGTAACATGGAAAACATCTTAATTGTTAATCAAAATTACAAATATTTGGTGTCATATTATCCTCCAAATTGAATCCTTATCTCCAATAGGTTTGTGTAAGAGGGTTTGTAGTGAGAAGTACAATACATTAGGTAGCTGCTCCAAAATTAAGATTATGGATTTTTTCATATACATCGTCATAGATAGTTCTGCAAGGAATAGTTCAATGAATTTTAAGCTAGTTCATGTTTTACTAAGTTATATCGTTTCATGCATGTGTTGACTTTTTGTTTCCCTCATTTTTCTGTAATGATAATTTTGCCACATTTCTTTTCATTTTAAATAAAGTTCAGTTGTGATTTCTTCGGCATTCAGACTTCATCAATCAATTTGGTAGAGTCAGATTTCACTTCACGGTTGGTCCATGTGCTTTTTTTTTCGGATTCAATTTCCAACGATAAGAATGGAATTTTATTAGCATGCAAAAAAAAAAAAACTTCCGTTTATTATGTGTAGTATATATCTTTTTGTCTGCAAAAGAGAATCAAAACATATGATACATCAGGTAGCTGCAAACTTGGCAAAAATGGAACGCATTATTGGCATTACAATTTATGACTGAATTTAAGTTCAAATGCATTTTAAATTCATTTCTTCAATATAGAAATTTTAACAACAAATGAAAGTTTATTACAAAGATTGCCATTTTTAATTGAGGAGTTTTCATATGATGAGATATACTAAAAGACTAATATGCATTAAGCTTCTAGAAAATGATTTAAAGTAATCTGTTTAATCATGCATTGAACGATGACAACAAACAATGGCGCATTTTGTTTTACAAATAATGGATGAAGCATTTATGGAAGCAAGAGATACCGATGATTAAATGGTCGAGATGAGGTATCCAATGATAACATTTGGTATACATAGGCGGAATTTACCAATACGAATATAGTTATTTTCCTTTTTTTTTTCCTTTTCATTTTTGCCTCATTGTGGACAATTTTGCAGCAATTGAATTGTTGATGAAAAGAAACGTTCCGACGCTATACCAATAACTATGGTTACAATGGTTATTTGATTTATTCGACCTAATTAATAACGCGATTCATTTTTTCCTTTTTTTTTTTTGTTCCCCCATTTAAATAAATAATTAGATGCTTTCGCTATTTGAAGACATCCGTACATGATTGTCTTTTATTAATATTGACATTACAATAACAAAATAAGGACTGATCAATTAGCAAAAGAATGAGATCAAGGAAACCGTAAGACAAATGGATTTTTTTAATTTGGGAATCAAAATTTTAGCTAATTCGGAAAGATAGCTAATCCGCTAATTAGTTAATCTATTTAATCTAGAAATTTAAAAAATCTAGATCTAATATAGATCTAGAAAATCTCGATCTAATTTAGAATGATAGCTAATTTAGCTAATCCAATTATTTCAACAATAACAATATTAGTTCAACCATTAAAATTTCTCAAATTCATACATTTTTATTTGACTTATATTAAATATTTGTTAATTACTTTAGAGTCATGTTTTTTTAAATTTTTTTAACTAATGACTTTTTTATTGATAGTATAAACTATTAGGTTTAAAAATAATATATTCTGTTAATTTGGAAATGCATTTAGTAAATTTAGAGTAATATTATAATATCAAAATGAAATGATGTAATTTTTAATAGCCCATATAATCCAAATTTTAGTCGTCACAGATATTAAATGGTCACAGATCACCTATTAGGAAATATTACTTTATAACAAAATTTAATTTTCTTTTTAGACTACAAGAGCTTTTTTTGACTAAAAGCGCCTGATATATGTATACATTGCAACAGTTCTTTTAATATATCATACAAACAAGTAAAAATTATCGTTTCCATTTTTTTTTAATCACATTTAAAATAAATTACGATTTAAAATATTATCAAATTGAATAAATATTTTATAATATTTAAAAAAATCAATATATCATTTCATTGAAATATTTAAATTTTCAAAAAATTTAGCATCAAATGCATCGGCAAGTGTAATTAATTTGGCACCAATTTCTTTCGTAGTTGTTTTGTACTGATCTGAAATTTATTGAAATGAATTATTCCTGTGAAATTTTTTGATATTAATCAAATTTAATCATCAAATCTTTTTAATCTTTTAGATATTACTCGTAGAAGGCCATTATAATCGATGACCAAGTTGATATTTTTTTTTATTTCGTTATCAAATGACAAAAAAAAAGTTAAGATCTGATATTAAGTTACAAATCATTAGAATAAACAAAATCTCTTGATTTATTTCAATTTATATCAATGATAAAATTTGAATTTTTCAGTCTTTTTTTTAAAGCTAATAAGATAATTTTACAATTTGATAACATGCCTGTAATTTTTTTATAATTTAATACCTCTAATTTGACATACCTTTAATTTGAGTAATTGAATCTGTACATTGCTTAATTTCATCCGAATTCCAAAATTGCTTCCTATAAGCTTTTACTTTTCTTCTTAGCTTATTTTCATCATTTGCATTGGATGAAAAATGCTGAATATAGCTTGGATCATTTTCATTCTTACATCTTGAATCAATATTTTGACTTAGTAAATGCATACACCGTAAGGAATTCGGGCTACCGTATCCACTATCCGATATCAACTGATGAGATGACATTTTATGTACAGAATATGAAAAATCTGAAAAAACAAAAAATTTGATTTATTTCACAATTGCATGTTTTAATTTTTAATAATTAACAGAAATTGAAATAAATGAATTAAATATGCGCACATATATTATAAATTGGCAAACGAATCAAGCTAGTTAATTATTTTTAATTAATAAAAATTCTTTTTAAGCTTATGATAAAAAAAAAGTATCATTTGAAAAGTCCTCAAAAATTCCTAAAATTTTAAACTTAGAAAAAAATTTCAACTAATGGATTAAAATTATATTAATTTTTCACCAGAATTTCTTCACACATGATTAAATTTAATGTAATTTTGGTGAAAATTTTAAAAAAAATTTTCAATTTATAAATTTTTCGTACATTCTAATCCCATTTATTAATATATAATTAAAATACGGTAATAATCCTATAGCATACGATAATTGTCTAACAACAACAGGTTATCCACTAGAATTTCTTCACATATGGTTAAATTTTAACATGTTATTAGGGGCGGTTCTATTTCGCGCAATTGGATTATCGTTAATCTCATCATAATTAATGAGCTAATTATGCTGAACTGCTTTTAATTATCTGTAATTACAAGCAAGGAATGAGATTTTGAAATTAAAAGCATAAATGTGAGGAAAAAATAACCAGAAGGAATATGAGGTAAGAAAATGTAAGTGTTAAATGAATTATAACATTTCATCCTATTCAAATAGTTTTTTAAATTTTAATTTTTATGCAATAAAATTAGCATTATATATAAAATTTACCAAATTTTCTTTAAAGAAAAGATTTTTTAAAAAAAAATTCATAAATTTTTACTTTTATTGAAGATTTTGAAATCTAAGATTATTTTCTTTTTTTTTTGAAGGAATTACAATTATGAAGTTTATTATTGATTAATTAAGTGTACGATAATTGATAATAAAAATAATATTATAACATAAAAAAATTCTGACAGTGATTGGTTATTTACGAAATCTTACATGTAATTCAAGGTAAGCAAGCGTAAGCAAGCGTACTTCACGTAACGTTATAAAATCAGCAAGTTTTTACGTTGCAATTCCCCTTAATGATTTCTATTACATAAAAAAATTTTTTTTGTAGTTTTTTTTTTTCTAAAAACAATGTTTCATTTTCCGTTTTCAAATTTATCAGTTTGTAATTTGTATGATCGAAAGGAACCATTGTTATACATTGACCTTTGACCCTGTTGAGAATGAATGAATGAACTATTTCATATAAGAGGTCATTCATGATTGATTATCTTAACAACATGTGCAACCAATAAACACATGGATCATAGCATTCTTTCTCAGATATTTATAAGAAAAACAGCTGTTGTCAGTGAATGATTTCAAAATATTAAGGTATGTTATGAAGTAAAATTTTGGTCTAATTTTATCAATTAATTTTAAATATTTCTAAAATTTCAAATTTAACATTCAACTTCCTTTTGTTTCGAAATTGGAAAAAAAAACAACTAAAAATTTTTAAATGAAATTGAAATTTGACACAGATTTAGTCCAATTGTATGAGTAATGCTTTGAAGTTTTATGGTAGTTTAATTTATTAAATTTGAAATGATCAATTAAATTATCGTAGGTTAATCTTGCAATTCTTATTCAAATTTCCTTCTAAGCTTTATTAATATCAATATGATAATGGTGCTTACTTGTAATTTATGACACTTTCATTATTTAAAAAACATTAACAGTAATTTCAGAATTTGAAATAAAATTCTGATTAATTGCAAATTGCGGTTGAATTTTAACTGAAAGATTTAATTTTTGTTTTTTTTATTTTTGATTACCAAATGTGATATAAAATTCAATTCAAATTTATCAGTTATGTAATAACATAAATGATATATTGTTTGAAGGATAAGATACCTTATTACAGTTTAATATTCAAAATAATAATAAACAACGGAACATTCTTCATGCTCAAAACATTTTCTTTTTTTTTTTTAAATCACCAATATGAAAAATATAAAATTTGTGAAAGTGAAATTACGCTGTTTAAATTTTTCAAATTTCATCTTAATTTCTGAAACTGATAAACTTCTTCGATTAACTCGTACATTCCTTCATGTTGTAATTTAAGATTAAATTTTGATCAAAAAATAGAGCATCAAGTAATTTTGTCTCTTTTATCTCCATGTTATTTTTATTATTTTTCAATTATATTTATTTAAGTTACAGATACTTTTGTCCCGAATTTAATTATAATTATGTATTTTTTTCAAGTATTATTATTCTAAATTTAATTTTAAATATTTAAGTCATACTTGTTTTAAATAAAATCATCAAATGATGGCGCACACTTTCAATAAACAATAAACCTTTAAATTTTGAATAGTATCTTCAAAATTTTCGATAAATATCATTGAATTAAATAGTATCTATCTTTAATTGTGCAATTTCCGTGAATTATACCTTAAAAAAGTGTCATAGCCTTCTTTATTGTGACACATAGAAAAATTCTGTTCCCCAAAATTACCAAATAATCAATATGTGGAAGAAGTGATATGGATATGGAGTTAAACCCGAGATAAATCGGAAGTTTACCTCACGGGGTCAGCCTCAAAAATTGCTAGTAACACAGGAAACGGAAAATGTTATGATGTTCGTTTCACATTCGGAATCATTTCCAGTATTCCATAACTGTGTATGGATTAAATCTCGTTGGTTCATCAGTTAACTTTCTATTACTATCGTGATATTAAGGTGTCCATTACCTATTACCGTAATATCACATGAGCAAAAGGTTAGAATTATCAGAGAGAGAGGGAGAGGGAGAGAGAAAAAGGAAAGAAGGGAGAAAGGGGAAAATAGGGAGAGCAGTAGAGGAAGAAGGTAGAGGGAGGAAATTCATTTCATCATTAAAAAAGAAAAAAAAATTGAAGATTGTCATGAATATGGACTTCAAATATTTGATATCTGTTAGCAAGAGAAGTGAAATTTCTTAAAAGCATAATCTATTACTATTGGAAAGATCAGACAAAGGAGAGTAGACAAAATAAGAGAGTATATTATTGAATTGTTAAGAGAAAGATTATAAATTTCTGAAACGAAAAAAAAGAACGGAGAATAGAGTGGATGGATCAAGAATTTCCACAAATTTCCTGACATTAAACCCTCATTAAGCTACATTATTTTAAATATATTAATGCTTTTCAGTGTCAACAAAATTTGATAATTTGGATTTGGATGTGTGCGAGAAAGAATCTGGACTTTATTAAGACAAAGGATTTTCCGGAAAGTCTAAAAAAAAAAACACAACCCACTCCCTCCCACGCGTGATTCAATTTGAAGTTTATTTAAAATTAAAATTGCAGCAAAAGAATTTTCTGGGAGGTCCAAAAAAAAAAACACAACAGACTCCCTCCCACGCACGATTCAATTTGAAGTTTATTCAAAATTAAAATTGCTGTACAGTACTTTACGGATGGACGCATGATATAGGATGTGGTTGCGTAATATGGCACGTGCTACCGGAAGAGGTCAATAGGTGGTCGATACGGGCAGGACGCGGTACGTGGGATTCCGTTAGAATTAGACGTAAACGCTTGAAGAAGTGGTATTTTTACATGGTATTTGACGTTTTTGTATTTGTTAGAGAATGAAAATAATGGATTGGATTGAAATGTTGCACTGGAAAGTATCATAGCGCAAAAATCCAAATCAAATTGAATTTTTGAATTTTCTAAATTCGTTTTCTTATTTTTTTTCTAGCAGCGCTGCGCATAGATTTGCGTCAAAAGATGTCATCGATGAATTCGAGCAGGATTAGAGCTGCAGAAAATACAATCAGTGAGGATGAGAAAGCTGTTTATGATCGACAGATACGTTTATGGGGTTTAGAAACTCAGAATCGGTTAGTTTTGGGCTTTTTATTGTTCTTTTGGAATACTTCTTATTTTTGTTTTGTTGTGTATTTGGCGTGTTATTCAGAAATAATGAGAAATAATAGCTTCGGTTGAACTCAAGCGCTTGCAGGTTGCGCAGTTCGACAGTATTGGTTGCTGGTATGTCAGGGTGTGGAAGCGAAGTGTCAAAGAATTTAATGTTAACTGGATTAAAATCATTGACCTTGTTGGACAATAAAACAGTAAGTACCATAGATTTTTCAAATAGAAATATATGTGCGAATAGTGCAAACATATGACCATTAAGCGTTATTTTCTCTATTCTGAAACCTTTTTTTAATTGCTGTGAATCCGAACACATATGAATATCATACTTGGATCATTTGCTTGTTGAGCGAAAATTAATTTGAATATTGTTCTAATAATGTTTTTGATTTTTTTTTTCAGATTTGTGCGGATGATTATTGTAATCAGTTCTTATTGCAACGTGGCAGTGAAGGCAAAAATGTATGTTCTTAAAATATAATTTGGTCAAAATAAGTATCGAGATCTAATCCCAAGCTCCTCCGCTTGATTTCCAAATAGTGATCACTTCACTTATATCACTCATGTTTTTTAATGCATTAATTGGAATGGATAATTTAGTAGTTAATCTGTTGGTTCTTATTGGGACTTTTTTATTGCATTTTTTCCCAAATCAAAACTTTATTACTTCGCACTGTTTTGTTAAAACTTTTTGTAATATTTCTAGTCTCTGTGATGGATATAATTAAAATTTCAAAGATAATTCATGTAATTCTATCACATTTATTTTATGAACTGTTATTTTCCAGCGTGCTGAAGCATCACGACAGAAATGTCAGTTATTAAATCCAAATGTGGAATTACATGTGGATACGGGAGATATATCCGAAAAAGATGAAAAGTTTTTCAATAATTTCGATTTGATTATTTTGGTTGACCAGAAATACGCCGTTGTTAGTCAAATCAGTAAAATATGTCGGGATATTAGAAAACCGTGAGATTTCGTTAACTTCTGTAACTTTGTTTACTAGTATAAAACTGTATAATAATTAGAAGAATAGTTAGAAATGAGCAACATATCACTAGTTCAAACCAAGCAGTTTGAATCTGGAATAGTCCAGTAGATGAAAGGATGATTTGATTCTTGGTCTCGTGTTCACCATTTGCGTAATCTTTCTTTTGAATGTGGAATAGTTGTGTTGCAGTCAGGGGACATTTAAGCTATATATTTAGGATAATACTAGTTATTAGCGGCACTTCTGAATTATGTATATGCCCAGAGTTTTTTAATAATTCCTGAATAACGATGACAGCTGGAAGGATATCATGTTTTTTCTTTTTTTTCTATTTTTATCGATATTTGTAAAAATTAGTTTCAGATTTATTGCTGGAGGCGTTTTTGGTTGGGTAGGATACGCATTTTTCGACTTTACAGACTGTTTATTTTTAGTGTAAGTTTATTCATGTGCCACCTACACCTGAATGCAACATCGACAGTATCATCTACTGGATATTATATGTTGTCTTAGCTCTTGTTACACTGTTGATTCACCTATTTACTCAAATGAAATACCTATGTTGCTGTTTACTAACTGATATGTTTACGCTCATGCCTGTTGGGTAACGCTTACTTTGACCAAGTTGAGAGTTAATAGATCATGCTGTTTCTCAACATGGATTTTAGGACTATGCCGAAAATAAGGGCAGGTAGTGTACTTGACGATGACTCTGTAGGAGATGGTCCCTCATCAGCAAAAAAACAAAGAGTCGATATTGAATTAGAAAATGGAAAAGGAGGGAAGGAAAATGAAGCATCAGTGAATGTGGTACTGGATGATGAAGACGAAAAAGTGCAGATGGTAAGTGATTTTCTAGGCTGGGATATAAATATATATTATGTTAGTGAAATTGGAAATGAAATTAAAATTTCGGTTCTTCTCACGTATCCACCTTTCAATACGACCGAAACTGCATATTGCAAAAATATATCCTGATTGAATTTAAAAATCAATTAGAAGCGAAGTAAAAAATTAATTAGAAGCATTCTGTTTTGCTTAATTTCACGATTTTTACTGCTTGCAGACATTTTCATACCCATTATGGGACGATGCATGGAATGTTGACTGGTCTCATAAACGGCTGATTCGTAAAGCGAAACAAATTTTGCCGAGATCATATTTCCCAATCCGAGGTATTTTTTCATTTACTATTCTTTTGCGATAAAGTTCTATTTCAAACAGTAAAAATTGCTTTTTTGTAAAATTTCTCTTTTATACCTAGAACTTCTGATGCAGAAATTTGCGAGGCAATTTAATCCGGGAAAATGTGAGCAATTTTTTGACTCAAAACAGCAAATTCCCATAGATCTGTTTTCTAGTTATGCTTCGATTGCAAGATAGTGATGATGCTGTAGATCAAGAAAAATTTGTAGAACTGTGGAAGAAAGAACTGGAGCAATGCAATCATGTCCTTGATGACGAATATTTCAACGTCAAATATTTTTCACAGTTAGCAAAATTTGATTCTCTTAAAAACAGTTGTGGTTAACAACTGAAAAGTTTCTGCCTGATCCATTATGATTGTCCTGAATAATTTTTCTTTTTACTTTTGCTTTTTTTTTTTACTTTTAAGCATGGAGTTATTTCAGTTTTGTTGGACCTCAACTTAGCTCAGCATGTGCCATCGTTGGAGCACATATAGCACAGGAAGCAATAAAGGTTTTCTTTCCTTTTTCATTTGAGAATCTGTTCATGTTGCATTGGATTGAAAATTAAAATCTAATTAAATTTTATCCACAAGATTGTTATTCCAAAATGCATTATGCATTTCAAATATAGTGGGCTTGCAGAAGACAGAAGAATTATCTGACCGTTCACCGCATAGTTCTTATTTATTACTGGATAGTATATATAAGCATGGATAGGATTTCTAGAAGAGTCATTTTAACCTTCGAGATTATTCGGTTAAAAGCATCTTTTTATTTATCCTGTGTTGAGAGTAACTCTTTGGACTGCTGAGCAGAGCTGGCTGACAGCAGTGTTTTCTCGATTTGTTTATCTCCGATATTATCTAATAGTTGTACTTACACAGTGCTGTAAGATCAAATTTCGTTGGAAATCGCGGTTATTATTCCAATTATTCCTATGTTTACGCGAACAGATTTTCAAGGATTTGAATTCATAGTAGTTACTTCCCTAAAAAAATTAAGTTTCAGGCACTTTCGCAAAAAGATGATCCTCTTCGAAATGTGTTCTTTTATTCGGCAATTGATACCAGTGGTATTGTTTGCCATTTGCCACCGATCACATAATTTCATTGTTGATTTCGATAATATTAATGAATTCAGCCTTTATAGATGATCTCACATTATATTTCATTTTTTTAAATATCATCATTATTGTTTTGGCTCGTTCTGAATAATGGTGAATACTTTATTGCTAAATCGATTTGTTTTGGCTGTCTGCAGATGATGGAAAAATTCGAGTTTATATCATGCAAATATCAGATAAACTGACACAAACAACTTGACTTATAAAATTTAAATAATAGAATTCCATGAAATATGCAAGTTTTTGTGTTTTTAAAAAAGCTTGTCATTGGAAAAATGGAACGGCAAGGTGGCGGTATTTTGAAGCGACAGGAATGATGGTATAAAGCCGGGAGATATGATTGTGATGTAGATTGTGTCACTTACATGGAGTAATATCTAGACGATCCAATGATTAAATCAATACGAATAATTGGTTCTTACTTTTTATCGTACTTTGCATTCTTTGTTTTTGTATGTTCGGTGTATGCAAATGCTTCTCACTTCATCTTTTATGTATTGTACTGTTTATGAAAAACGAAAAAAAAGGCAAAATTGTTTATTTTGTCACTTTGATAAATTTGCTCAAATAAATTTTCTTGTTTTACGTTAATGCTGAGTTATTTTAACGTTCAATATATGATACACCAATACAATTATATCCAGGAGATGAAGATATCGTTAAATCCTAACGTCAAATGTTAGATTCATTTATTAAGATTTGAAGTAGTAAGATTTGGAATGTATATTGCTTGGTAATTCAACCAAGATATAAATTATATAATATTTTTTTTCTACTTAAATTTGGCTTAAATAATAGATATGCTGAAAGGAAGGTTAGTAATTTAAGCGGAATATACTGTACAGGATTATACGTGAACTGTAAATCTGCAAGAAGTTCTATATTTTTTCAATTCAGATAAAAGAAAATGAAGGTAAGGAAAGCACGAAGACAAAAGCGAAAGTTATTGCTTACTGATGAAACGGAAATTACAAAACCTGAGAAAATGATAAAAACCAAAAAATCGGATATAGGAGTCGGATCTTCTACTGATGATTTTATACCGGATACTATGCCTACAAGGGCTACTTATCGTGAACAGTTGGAGATTGGTATCCGGAATCGTTTGCTTGTCCTCATACAAGTAAGTTGATTTGAAATTATTTTATTATGTGCACAAAAATTTGTCAGGCTACTTTATAACTTCTAAAACAGAAAAACTGGTTGAAAATCCAAATGATTGTTCCGCAAGGTTAATTTTTAAAAGTAGATTTTGAAGTAAAGGCAATTTTTTGGTTTTCACTCTCAAGGTTCAATAATCTAACGGAGGAATGGAAAAATGATAATGATTGAACGATAATAAAGATTTACATACGAACATTTGATATCAAATTATTGATAGCATCAATAGTAGTCAGTTCAGTAACACCATTGAAAGTAAAATTAGATATTACAATAGGATAGCATTTCAAATCAGTTAATCTTACACCCTTTTGCTAACCGCATGTGACATCGAGCTAACCCAATTTAGCTTATGAATCCATCACATACGTAAATATATTGATGACATAAGAATAAGATTTCCGACAATTCATTCAGTTTCGAATGTTTTTCAAACATTATGACCAATTCCTGATTTTCACATATCTCTTGTAATCAAACCATCTGACTCTTTTTTCGTCAAAAACGTATTAAATTTTAGGGTCCAATTGGTTGTGGTAAGACATCGATAGTGAAGGAAGTTGCACGTAGCATGCAGTTACCATGTCGAACTATACAAATGGGTGAACAAATCGATTCGAAAACTTTGTTCGGAACTTTTCATTGTTTGGATATACCTGGTGAATTTTGCTGGAAGCAAAGTAGCTTCACGAAGGTAAAATTTGGTTGTTTTTCCATAGAGGTGGTATTAGCTGTTTAATGGAGGATGATGGAATTTGCGATCCCAAGTCTCATCGTATATTTCAGTGTCTTATGTATGAGCTTCCAACGGAATTAGGATTTTTTCTTTTCCTATTTATTGCAAAGAATAGTTAAGCAAACGAATCGAAGTGGGGATCGGCGATGATTTCGAGTACTTGCATTAGATTGATTAATTGAGCAAATAAAGAAAAATTTATTTCAAGATAAATAATACTCCTTAATTTCATTCGTTACCAGAGGCATCTTATAATTCTTTCCAAAAAGTTCCAGGGCGTTCCGGCCATGCATAAGAATTTTGTTGAATGTGAGCAAGAAAAAGTTGTTCTAGTCATTTAATAGTAGATTGAATGGATGACTGGTAATGCTAATTTTTTTGGAGGAAGAAAGAGGTCGATATTTGAAATAGAGTTTGTTACGGGAATGCTAATATGAGTAATTTTAATCGCTGGTTTCGTTACAGGATGATTCCGTAATTAATTTTTGAGTAATTATGGTGTTTCCATGTAAGATTTTGAAAGTTTCAGTATATTCTTGATAAAGGAATCATACTTTTGGAAGATATCGACTGTGCTTCTGCTGATTTAATATCACAAGTAATCAACTTGTGTGATAGTCGCGAAGCGCGAGTAACTTCTGGTGAAACGATACGAATGCATAATGAAGCTTATATTGTTGCTACAATGAGGTTTATTTCTGATGCAAGAACATTATTAGAAGTCAGCGAGAAAATGTGGCATAAATGTAGCGACTGCGGAATTTATGAAAATTTTTTTGAATCTTATGAATGTCTTTTATAAGCTTGCGAAAAAGCTTCTTTTAAATTGGTCACATTATTACCAATAACACAGTGAAAAAAATAGAACAAGCAGTTTGGTCCAAAAAATGAGGAAATTAAATTTTCAGGTGTATAAAGCAAGAAAGGTGTTTCCGATCAGCTGATATTGAATTGTTGCTTACTTCGGTACCGTTTGAAATCTCGCTGCCGCCATTTACAGACAAAGAGCTTCACCGTGCTATTTGCATTTTATGCAAAAGAGTTTCACCACTTGCGCAGAAATTGATAACTCTCTTTGGTGAACTAGTCAGCAGTCCAACCAATCGGTCAACTGGAAGAAAATTAGGAGCGACGTCCGTTTATTTAATGATTTTAATGTATTCTTAGTAGAAATATTAAGTAAAATTTAGCTCAAAGCAGTGCCAAAGACTAAAATATATTATAACAAACTTTTACAGAGATTTATTGAAAGCTTGTACACGTGTCAACGATTTGAATGACCTGTCGGACCCGGTGGCTATTTTTCATGAATTAGTCGACTGTTGGATAGTTCACTGCCACCGGCAGGAAGATATTCTTGCATTGTCAGAAATAATTGCCAGTGGTTTGTCTCTCAATCATGACCAACTAATATATCACTTAAATCTCCGATTACCTGAAATTTTGGTGACACAAACCAGCATGAGATGTGGGCGAATGAATCTGATGAGGAATCGAGCAGCGATAACGGGCGAGAGGTAAAAATGTTTTTTAAAGCAGCCATTAGCAATCATTAGTAAAAATATTTTTTATTGCAATCATTAGCACTTCAAAAAAAAACAAATACTTGGTTTATTAAATCTCATAACTCGGGGAGGTGGGGGGAAGGGTATATGTAAAGGTCAGCGAATAAGAATATTCTTCATGGACAAAGAGTGGAAATAATAGAATAGGTTTTTTCAAAATATTGAATACTGAATTAGATCAGCAATCGCGAATTGAAATAAAAATATCTTAATACCACATACTTAGAAGGGATTGCTACTGACACAGACTTGGATCGAACCACTTAGAAATTAGAAACGAGGAATTCATTATGAGTTATTTAAGGAATTGAAGCAATGTTTTTTTTTTCCTGTTGTATTTTAATAAGAATATACAGCGTGAGTACATCTACAGTATACCAATAGTGAATCACCACGTTGTGCAGTAAATATATGATGCAGTGATTAACTAGAATAAACAGATTTTATCTTTAAAATTGAAATTTTAGCAAGGTAACTCATTTTGGCATCACACGTAATGTATGTCAGCTACTGGAGCAGATAGCAGTTTGTGTAAGTCGTACGGAACCAGTATTGCTCGTTGGTGAAACTGGTGTTGGTAAAACAACCATCATACAGCTACTAGCAGATCGTATTGGCACTACTCTACGAATTGTGAATCTCAGCCAGCATTCAGATTCATCTGATTTAATTGGCGGGTATATATTTTAATTATGAACTTTCAAAATTTCAATTTTTATTCCTCATTTAAGATTTCAGCGAAAAATTTTAATGCGTTTGCTCTTTCCATTCATTTATGCGTGGCATGCTTACTAAACACAGGATAACGTGTTTTTTTTTGTTTTATTGAAATTTTAGGTATAAACCAGTGTCAATACCCTATTTGTTAAGACCATTAAAAAAAGAATATGATGAATTGTTTGCTGCAACGTTTGATTTGAAGAAAAATGAAAAATTTCTGCATCATTTAGAGGTTAGTTTTCTTTTCATTTTTCGAGATACTTTTGGATTAGAAAAGATTTTAATCTTTTTGGAATTTTAGTCCAAGAATGTATGAAAAAACTGATTAAGCATTAATTAGTATTTTGGAAGGATATAATATATGAATAATAAATTCTTGCTTATAATTCTGCATATGCAATCCACTACTCTGACCATTCCAATTTAAGTCTCTTTCTGGTCGTAACACAAAACATATCACGGCTGAATTGTCCTTAGAATTGGTAGTTCATATCTGACGTCACCGTTATGGAATGCAGCAGTGTTTTTTTTGTACTGTTTTTCATGATCCTTTCATTTTTTTGGATTTTTTGGTTTAAAAAAAAAAAAAAAAAAAAAGGTGCAATAAATTATTATCAAGGCAGTAATGCTAAAGTGAAAATATTTGTAGTTGGTGTTATACTAACGTAATTTTGGGTATCAGCAATATGTTTTTTTTTTTTGATTTTCTACTTAACGCATTTTTAGAGATGGCGGAAAAACAAGTGAAAGACTTCTTTTTAGATGTGCTTATCAAACGGACGATACAGCGATTATGCAAAGTTAATCACGGAAACAGCACGTCGTACACTGAAAATGTCACCGAAACGTAACTCGCTTAAACTATGGGCGAAGTTACTTGTTCGAGCTGAACGTTGTATTGAATCATTGAAAGCTTCAGCGGTTTCATTTGCATATGTTCGTGGAGCAGTCGCCGAAGTAAATCACTAAAAAACATTTTTTTTTCGAGCTTCTGATTTTCGAGTTCAAAACATTACTTTCCTAATTTTGGGTGACTTTTTTATTTTCCATTTAACAATTGTTGCATTTTTTTTTGCTCTTTTGTTCTAGGCTGCTGAACGAGGTGAATGGCTTCTGGTTGATGAAATTAATTTGGCTACACCGGAATGTCTGGATTCTGTGGTACGCTTGATTGAAGATCCAGAAAGTCGACATCCAGATTTTCGTTTATTTGCCTGCATGAATCCTGCCAGGGATGTAGGAAAACGAAATTTGCCAGCTGGAATAAGGTGAGGGAATTTTTGGAAAGAAACCTGAATGTTCGAACTTTTTAAAATAATTTTAACAGCATCAATTTATAATTTTATGTTTTTGCAGAAGCCGCTTCACTGAAATATTCGTCCATGAAACTACAGAAATGGAACAACTACATATCATCGCACAGGCTTATCTCCCATCATTTGATGTTGCAAAAATATCTATTGTGCTGGAACTTTATCAGACACTGCGTATAGCTTTCCCTGAAAAATATAGGTTTGTTCTGAGGCGTGTGCTCTATAAGTCAACTAAATTCAATTAATCATCTTTACTGCTGTCAAAATTAATGTTTTGCATAAGCCTGTTTTTCCAGCTTACGCACTTTATGTCGTGCGTTGTCATTCACGGCAGAAAATATCTTTGGAAGTGATATGCGTAACATGTATGAAGCAGTATCGATGTCCTTTATGAGCGATTTGAATGCGGAAGCTCAGGAAGTAGTTAGAAAACTTATTCAAAGCAAAATGAGCAAAATCTCGTTTGGCAAAGTGAAGGCGAAATTTATCGATAATCGCATGTTTGTATCACTAATCATATTTCATTAATTATGCACATTGCTCTACTTTTTACTAAATACTTTGAATCATTTACTAAGTGTAGTTAACTTGTGAAAATAGAATTGATGAATAAATGGTGTGTTAGGAGTAACATGAGAATGTGAAATTTTGGAAATAAATATTGATCAATGGATCTGAACTATCAGGGTAGGGAAATAGCCATAAGATATTTAGTTTTTCAGCTGGAATCTTTTCGTTCCACCACGATTTCCAAAGTCAAAGATTTTAGTACAAAAATTTTTAGTAAAGACATTGCTTTAAGCATTGAATATATTTTTTGGTTCCAATTTGCTTCCCCTTCTTTTTCTGGTTCATTTTATTGTTCATTTCTTTTTGCAGTGAAGTTGAAGGATATTGGATCGAAAAAGGAACTGCTGAACTACAGGATGATCCCAGTTATGTTTGTACAGCATCAGTTCGAAAAAATTTAGCCCACCTTGCTCGAGTCGTTTGCAGTGGCAAATTTCCGGTGCTATTGGAAGGTGAAACATCGTGTGGAAAAACAGCTATGGTGAGTTTGGATTCGCAGTTGAAATTAATTTAATTTTTAATTTCAACTGCGAAAATTAAATTAATAGTATCGGTCCCAGTTCTAAATTTCAGGTTCAGTTTTAGAATTTTTGTGCTATACGAGAAGTTGACGGATAAGACAATGTAATTGCAAAAAATGTTTTTTTACTCAAATCATGCCTTTTCTAATTGTTATTCTATAATTTTGCCATAAGCCTGTTGCTTAAGATTTTGATGTTCATGAGTTTTTGAAGTTCGAATTTAAGTTTTAAATAAAAATGTTTAGGTAATGCACCTTGCTAAAATTACTGGGAATGCGATTATTCGGATTAATAACCATGAACATACCGATCTTCAAGAATACCTAGGATCCTATGTACCAGATAGTGATGGCCGTTTCGTATTCGTAGAAGGTCCGTTAGTAAAAGCTGCCCGTAATGGACACTGGATAATTCTTGATGAATTGAATCTTGCACCAACTGATGTCATTGAAGCTCTAAATAGGGTATGTTTTCGAACAAATTTTTTTAGCACTGAAATATAGTATAATTTCTTTGAATTTCTTTTTACCCTCAGTTACACGTGATACTTGACCTTTTTCTTCGTTTATTCATCCTTCTTGGTTTGTAAATGCTAAGAATTTAAACTTAGACCTGCCCACATGTTTTAATTTCAGTTGCTAGACGATAATCGTGAACTGTTTATTTCTGAAACAAATACAGTTGTAAAGGCTCATCCTCAATTCCGCTTATTCGCGACGCAAAATCCCGTTTGCACTTACGCCGGTCGTAAACGTCTTTCACGTGCATTGCTCAATCGTTTTATTGTTCTGCGATTCGATCAACTTCCATACAATGAACTGGCTCAAATGGTCATCGTTAGGTAGCAATGATTCCCAAAATTCCTGTTTCAAATTGCAGTAAATATTTTTCATCGTAATCTTGAGGATTCTATCTAGATCATTCAGTACACTGGTATTGATCAACTACGTACGGCGAAGTAATACTTATGAAAAGGTTTCATGATGCTGGAGTTAAACTGTCCTTTTTTTTAATTCACGGATAATGCTGTTGTTAGTTTGTTCCATTTGGGTTAAATCGAGGAACGCTTAACGGTGTTTCGGGAGCACATCTACCTTAGTAGAATTAAATTTAAATTATTTTATGAATACTCTTTGCAGTTGTAAAATTGCGCCATCGGCTGCACAAGCAATGGTTTCGGTATTCTGTGACTTACGTGCTCATCGTAGTGCAGTTGGCGTTTTCTCCGCCAGTGATGGGCTGATGACGCTTCGTGATTTATTCAAATGGGGGAAGCGACTTGCAAGTTCTGATCAGAATGATTGGCGTCAGTGTTTGGCTGAACATGGTGAGTTTTTTTCCCCTAATGACATATATTTTTTATAATAAAAGCTATCTACTTTTTGAGTTGTGCTTTTGAACGTGATGGGCCAAAATTAGCAAGCGGGCAAATTTGGGCCAAATTTAACAAGTATATCAAGACCGAAGGTTTAGTGTTATGAGTTTTTGATTACTTAAAAACTGACCGTATATCAGTTAATTTTGCTTTTATTTGAATGTATGTGTCGTATTTTCTTTGGGAACATGTGGCCTCATATTTGCTTGTCCCATTTTTAAAATAATTATTTACCAGAAATTGGAAGAATATTGAATTTCAGGTTTTTTATTACTTGGTTCACGGTGTCGTAATACCGTCGATGTTGAGTGCGTGAAAAAAATGTTGGAAAAAAATTTGAAACATAAAATAAACGTTGAGCGGTTGTTTGCCAACGACTCGCATTATTTACCGCTTGAATTTCGTTCATGCACAGCCGTGAATAATATTGTTTTAACTGGTGCCATTCGAAGGATGCTTGTTTTGGTTGCACAAAGTTGGCATTTTGATGAGCCAGTTCTAATCATTGGTGAAACGGGGTGTGGTAAAACAACGGTTGCACAGATGCTTACAAAGGTGATTCTGTCGTTTTCCAGGAAGGATAAAAGAAATATTTATGCAAAAAAATAAAAAAGAAATATCTTTGATTGTTTTGATTTCTTAAAAAAGTGATAACTGACCTTTTACGATGATTAGGTAGAATGCCCTGACTTTTCATTCTAATGGATCTTTTGATTTAACATGAGGGAATTTATTTATCAGGACTTAGTGATTATTAAATGTGTAATATGACATTAAAAAATATTGCAGGAGAAACTGTTAGCTCTGAATTGCCATGAGAAAACGGAAGCTACTGATTTTCTCGGTTCATTACGTCCGGTTGGTGAAGGTACATTCAAATGGATAGATGGCATAGTCGTGCAGGCAATGAAAGAAGGTCGACCACTGCTAATCGACGAAATCTCGCTAGCTTCTGACTCAGTTTGTTTTCTCTTTTTGTTTTTTTTTTTTAGTTTGAACTTCTTATTGAATTTTATTTGTTTTCAAGTGAATTAGTGAAATGACCTTTATGATTAGGTATTGGAGCGGCTGAATCCTTTGTTGGAACCATCTCGTTCACTGTTTCTGAATGATGGCAGTTTATCAGGTGGTGAAGTACGAGCAAAAAGTGGTTTCAAGGTTATAGCAACTATGAATCCCGGTGGAGATTATGGTAAAAAAGAGGTTTGTTTTGTGTTCAAAATCTCGAATATGCTCAAAATTCAGAGGAAAGTTGAGAACTTAGGATTTAAGTTTCGGAAATCTGCGGTTTCTAGTGCCGTGTTTATTAAAAAGTTTTGGTATATTAAAATAAACACTATCCACATTGAGATTCTTTGTTTTTTATTCCTTTGTTATTGGATCAGATAATTTAAAAGTGGATTGTTCAGTTAGTTTTAATCATTCTGTTGTAGCTCTCAAAAGCGCTGCGAAATCGATTCACAGAAATTTGGTGTCCATCAGATGTATCCGGTGACGAACTGATTACTATTGTGGATCGACTGCTGAGCGCAACTACACTGCAGAATGAGAATGATTTGCGGCTAAAAGTTAACAAATGTATTGTACAATTCGTGCAGTGGTTTGATCGCAAATTTTCTCATGTGTTAAGGTTTGTGAATTTATATGGTTACTAACTAAATACTAAGTGGAAGTTCAAAAGTTGCCGGACCTGAAGTTTTGATTTCAAAGTTTTCTGTTTGGTAATGAAAACTCGTAATGATTTTAGAAATACAATAACAATCCGTGATGTAGTTGCAATTGCTCAACTTGTTATTGCTGCATTATCATTATCCAGTTCACCATCCTCCTCAATTTACCATGCTTTTTCGGCAACCCTTTTTGATGCCTTTGGTACTTTATCGACACGTATCAGTTTGGATTGCGATGCCTTAAAAAAAAAGGCCATTGACGAAGTGAGAGTTTTTTCTTTCCTTTAAAAATTCATTTAACTTTTTATTCATTTGTATCCTACAAGAAAAAACCGTAGAGAAGAGTGTCGTAGGTGGAGATTACAATTTCCAGATGAATCTAGCATTAATTTATTTTCATATGGTTTAAAATTGCTTCTAGACTACTTTTTTCTTCAAAAATTAGATTATTCCATTCGAAGTTGTCCAAATGAAATGAATTTCTTTTTGCAAACATTTAGAACCTCATATTTGCAGCTTTGTCGAATCATGCAACAGGAATTGGGTAGCATCTATGATGTAACATCCCTTTTGTTACCAAAATTGCATTTCGATGAAAAAGATTCTCATAGTCTTATTGTTGGAGATTTTCGTATTCCTTTTGGACCAGCCGAACGATTTATGCCCAAAGATTTTACATTTGATGCTTTGACATGCAAGCAGAATATTTTCAGGTATGGAGTCATAATGCTTGAATTTTCAATTTTTTTTTCATCCATTTATTGTCAAGTAATTTTTAGTAGATAAAAAATAATGTTCCATTCATCTTGATCTTTAGTATGCTTTATTTTAATACAGTTTATACCACATATTTTGTTTCATCTCATTTAATCAGACTGGAAGTTAAAAATACGATTCCTTATTACTATTTACTAAAATTTCAACATAATCCATACATATATCGGATATGGGTTAAAATAGCCGAGGAATGAGATTTTAACGATGAATGATTCCTAATGACTCTCCGTAATTTTAAGATTCTTCACACTGAAAGTTATATTCTATGAAAAAGGATATTCTTTGACATATTCGATATATGCATGGATTGTATTGAAAATTTTCAATTACTCAAAATGCAACTTTTATATAGCAGTATATTTAAGGCTTGTGCGTGGACTTGCGGTTGATAAACCAATACTGCTTGAAGGTCCTCCAGGTTGTGGTAAATCGAGCACTGTTGTTGCTTTAGCTGCTGTAACTGGCTATCCATTGACCAGATTAAATTTGTCTGAACAAACGGTAATTTTTTGTTTATCTTCCATCGTATTTTTGTTCTTCACTTATTATTAAAAGAAATTAGCTGCATTTACAATTGTTATAATCGATTTCTGTTTAGAATTATTCAAATATATAGAAAATTTACGCTAAGGATTCCAGGATTTGGCAGATCTCTTTGGTTGTGATGTGCCGGTCATTTTATCAGATGGCACACCATCTTTTATGTGGAGAGATGGACCTATCTTGCATGCAATCAAAACGGGACAATGGGTTCTTCTTGATGAGGTACAAAAATTTCCAAATTTTTCCATGTTTGCTGCATGGCTTTTTCATTTTTACTACATGCTGGTTTTGTAGTACTCTTAATATCAGTACCTTTCATTTTAATTAATACTTAACAATTGATAATTAATGTTCAGTGCCCAAAAAGGAATAATCTTAGTCTTTTTTTTTTTTTGCGCATACGCTGTGCGTGCATACGTGACAAATGATGTTTTAAGAGATTATCATTTAAATTAAAATTATAATTGTCAAATTAAAAACATATTCTTCCTGATTGTGTTACTTATTCCATGCTTATGTGCAAAGTGCGAGTTGCTAGTTATAAGAGATATTGGTCTTTGTTACGATATAGTGTTTGGTTATAATCCCTGAATATGATGCCTGTTTATAGGGTTTAAGGAAGTTAAATAAGTAGGCAATGTTAAATTGGATCAGTAAATTGAATTGTTTAAAGTCCAAACTTATTTAAATTCGTTCAAGATGAATTTGGCATCCCAGAGTGTTTTGGAAGGTCTGAATGCATGTTTTGACCATCGTCACCATCTTTTCATACCGGAGCTGAACCGAACTTTCGACATCGGTGTCGGTGACAGGAGAACACGTTTCTTTGCATGTCAGAATCCATGCTCTCAAGGAGGCAATCGACGGAAGCTGCCAAAATCATTTGTTAATCGCTTTACTTCTGTATGTGCTTGTTGATATTCGCAAAAGAAGTTGTGTAATTTTGTAACTTTTAAACTTTTCAGAAAACTAGCCAAAATGTTGGTGCTTATTTTATTTCAAACTATTAACATAATTAGGATGTGACCATCTTCTCTTCCTCAACAGTTCCCAATTATTCGGTGAATTTCGAATGATTTAACGACACGAGAATGGGATTCATCCTGAGTGGGTGGAAATTGTCGATAGTGTAACATTCTATCGATAATACATTTTTTTTCTATCGATAATATAACAAAAATTCTATCGATAGTGTAACAGAATTATCGGTAGTATAACATTTTTTTTTTTTTTAAATGAAAAGTTTGCAGATTTATGTAGCCGAAATGGATGCATCAGATTTTTTCAAAGTTATAAGAAGTTCATTTGGATCTGTATTGGTTGATGATGTTATCCAACGTATGGTCAATCTGAACAGCTCAATATCAAGTCTTATGGCAGAAGATCCACAATTTCTAAGGAAGGGATCACCATTTGAATTTAATTTGCGTGATTTGTTGAGATGGGCACAACTAACGGTTGAAGTACGTTGAAAGAATTTTTGCAAGTTGAACTTTTTGAGATTGTATTTTTCGAACTTCTGATAAAAACCATACTTCTTTGAACTGAATTATGAAGGTATGTGTCAAGCAGCTCTTTTGATTTTCGATTTTGTGTTTTTCTTAAACCACAAATACATTTGCACGTTAATGTGATGCCAGAGAAGTAGGAGATGATGAAATGCATTCTCGGATATTTTAAGCATGACTGGAAGATACTATGACTTAAATATTTAGAAACACTGAAACTGTAGTATTTTTTAATTTTTGTCTTTTGATATATTTACAGAACAACGGTGATGTTGCATATGGATTTGATTTATTGTATGTATGGCGATTACGTAGTAATATTGATCGAGAAAAGGTAAGTTGGACATGGCCAGTCCTTTTGATTTATTGCAAAAAAAAAGTCAGCTAGTGTAATATATCACGAATTTTTAATGTTACACTGCAGAGCTCATTCATATGACATCCTCATAATAATTTGTAAGATTTAAAGAATTTTGAGTTTTATAGATCGCTAGAACTTGGATTTTTCCTTTTATCTCTCTTTCATCGACATTACAGATGCGAAGCTTATTTTATGAATGTTTCAAATTTGAATGCATTGAAGCCGTAGCATCACTTTCATTGATCGATCCATACGTTCGTATTGGAAAAATAGAATTAGAACGGTCAGGGACAATACGCGAACGACAAAATACGTAAATTTCATTTCCATGTCTTTTTTTTAAACTCATTTAATCCGAGTTAATTTCCGATAATTGAATTCAACCTAGATTTCTTAAGATTGAATTTAACTAACATAACTTGAAATTAAATGAATTCATGTTCAGAAAATTACTGTCATCCCAAATGAAATTGTTGAATAAACTTGCCGTTTGCGTAAAAATGAATTGGCTTACTTTAATTGTCGGGAAAGCTGGTTCTGGTAAATCAACAGCTGTTGAAATTTTGGCATCCATACTTGGAAAAGAGCTTTATAAAATACACCTTACTTCGGAATCTGATTCACTCGAACTTCTTGGATCGTTTGAGCAGGTTACAAAAAATTTTGATTGCAAGTAATCCCAAACGGTTTTTTGTTTCAGTCAAAATTCCACGCTTAATTTACGTTGTCCGATTGTGTATGTTTGTTAGAATCACAGTTCCTATATTTTTGGGATGAAATTCATGGTTTCGTTGATTTTGATGTCATATATGCTTTTCATATTCACTGGACGGTTCTAATACATTTAGTCGTTTCATTCTGTTATACCGTAGGATATCATGAGCAATTTCGCATATTTTTCGGTCCAAAATTAATTTGATATATTCCTAAGCAATAATATGTAATTAATGTATGCATTATTAAGATTACCGATCATATCAATTTCACTTCCATAAAGGAACACTGCTTGAATTTGCTTGAACGGTTTCCGAATTTGTTGGATGATGTAAATAATGCTGAAGATATACTTACTTTGCGAATGGCCGTACAGAGCGCAATGCTTCTCGTCGATGAAGGTTTGTGTTTTCGAATTTCAACATTTTGGAGCATAATTTCTCGTTATTCTATATTATTGAAATAACCATTAATTTGCGCTACTTATTTTATATTCGTGCGTCTGACAAAATGATTTTTAAATATCGTTTTTGCAGATATCGCAAGCAAATTATCAAAATACGACAAGGAATTAGGCAAAAGTAAAATGCGTTTTGAATGGCTTAATAGTCGTTTTGTTGATGCATTTATTAATGGTTACTGGATTTTGATTGAAAATGTCAATTGTTGCAGGTTAATTACTTCATAATCAAGAAAAAAAAACTTCGACTATAATTACTTCATAATCAAAAAAAAAAAAAACTTCGACTATGTTTTTAGTTCTTCGTTAAGGTTATATCTTTTATATTGATTGTTACACTTTTATTTTTTAGTGCAGCAGTATTGGATCGATTAAATGCTTGTTTGGAAAATAATGGGGAATTGAATTTGCAAGAATGTAGTGGTGGTGCTTCTGTTGTGAAAGCACACAATGATTTCCGGTTACTGTTTGTTGTCTTCAATTTTCTGGTTAACTTCGGAACGATTAGTTCGCGTATTGAAATGCTATTGAAAGTTGAGGAATAATAGCTTCGTATTTTTGGCTCGCATTTTCGACATCATGCTCTTCTGATTGTAATTTAGGCAGTTTTAATTGGTTTCATAAATTTAGCGTTTTCTTCACGATGGATGATGATTACGGCAGTGTTTCACGGGCTATGCGTAATCGTTCAGTGGAATTATATTTACTTCCTGATGATTGTGCTTGGTTCAAAGTAGCACAAGATCTGGTGGTATGTGCTTATTATCTCTGTTACCACACATCTTAGAAGATTCGATTTGTTTGTTTTTCCTTGGAAATTTCTTTATTCTTTATCACAATAGTTATGCTGTATTTCTTAGTACATTCTTCGCATTTCCTTTGTAAACTTTATTTCAAGAATATGATCACAACAAATACGGAAAACCAAGATATTCTACGAATTACGCCAACAGTATTGCAAGCATGTGAGCAGCTTTCATGCTGGGAGTTGTTAAAATTAAAGATACTGCTGAAGGAGAGGAATGTGAATTTGGAAAATGCAATAAAGGTCAGCTTTCATGTTGATATTTTGTTGGAAATATGGACAATAGTTTTGGTAATTTCCACCATGTGCTAAGTTTTTTTTTTTTTTGGATCAGAAAACAGCATTAAATAGATGCACAGAATGTCTTGCGATTGGTAATATTGATATGATAATACAATAGAAGGATTACCAACTTAAAATTATGTTGCAAATGAAACAGTTAAATTTCAAATTTCAGCATTTCAAAATAAGCATAAGTGAGGATGCCATGGAAACTGATGAGAACAAGGAAGAAACCTTCATAGTTTATCCTACAATAGATGTCAATCTTGATATCACATATAGCAAATGGAAAATTCTGGTTTGGTCGCATGTAAGTCAGCATGATTGGATACTTGGTGTTCTGTGGGCTGCATTTTGCATTTCGTTCAAACAGCTGGAAGTTGAGGAAATAGTCGAGCAATTTAAATACACAGGTAACTTCTTTAAAATAATATATTTCATTAAATAAGCAGCTATCAAAGGGATACAGGTAAGTGGAGTTATATATATATATATATATATTTCCATATGCATTATACATTATTTCTATGTCTTACATTAGTAAATTTATTAACTAATTTACTGACAATATTTTTTAGACAAGAAAATACGAAATAAAGTCATTGAAGCCATTCAAAACCTGAAACAAAATAAGAAATTAGATTATGACGAACGCTTTGATGGTCCTCCAACTCTGCGCATTACGAAATCTCCAGACACATACGTGGACAATGACAGGTATCATATTACCTACCGATTGATGCAAGTCAGTGGACAGGACAAAAAACTAATATCGGAACAAAACAAGATTTGTTATGGGTTTTTCCGCTCGAATTTTCCTCATTCACACGTTTTGTATTTTTATCTATATAAGTTTAACATCCCTTAATTTTGTCTCATGTACTAAATGATTGACAATCAAAAATGTAAAATGAAAATGAAACTAAAACAGCACCCTTATGATCGACAGTTTAAACTGCTAATTCTTCTATTGATTATGAATTATGAGTTAAATTCATACTTCATCCTTTTATCTTCGCAATATTTTGAAATTTATTTCCATAAGAAAATATATCAACAAGCAATTTTCAGATTCATCATCGGAATGTGCGCTTTGTGGACAAAGTTTAGTCTGGATAAGATTTCAACTGAGAAGGGATCTGCCGTTGACATAGGCAACCTTTTTGTTAGAAGTGAGTTCAAGATTTGGATTCGCTAACTTGGAATATTTCCGAAACTTTTCTGTACTGACTCCAAAACAGCGTGGCAACAACGTGTAGAGCGCAATTAATGCTCTCTTCATTGCTTAGTTTATTTGGTTACCATTGATTAGTTTTGAGATTTTTGAAATTTCTAATCTGGTTTTCCAGTTATGTTTCAACATTTTCTAGTTCTTGCCTCACAGTGAGATAACATCCTTCACAGCGAGATAACAGATCATGAAGAAATGGTAAATTTCGAGGATTATTGAATTTTCAGAAAAGATTCGAAGTGACCAGCTTCTCTCATCTGCAATTTCATATGTGAAGGAATTAATTAATGAATTGTATATGTATATATCGAATTTTTCGCCAGCAGATTCTACGGTCTCAGATGCATGCTCAGTAGCTTTTATTTTGCTTTTTGGATTTCTTTTTTTCTTCCCTATTCACTAACAATTAGTTGAAGATAGGCGAACTTTCATTAAGTTGCATCTCTAATTTTTGGAAGATTAAAGAAAAAGAACAAATCGATAATTTAATTTTTGGATATGTTGTAAAAGCGGTATTTTCTTTGTTGATAGTTATGATTATTTTTTCAATCAATTATGAAGGCAGATATTTGGCTAAGTAAGTGCGTGTAGCTTACTCGAATTGTAAACAAAATTTAGGGGGGGGGGGGTAAATATTAATTGGTATTAATTAGCCAGCAATTAATTATATGATAAATCATGGTGTTATTGTTTTTACCAACAATAAACAAATGAGGATCGTGAATTTTTTTATCCGTCTCGTAAGGTACATTAAATTTTCATTATTGTTGAACTTTAAATGCTTTGTTCTTGGTGCATCTTAATGTTGCATCAAGAACGAAGCATTTAAAGTTCAATACAATAAAAATTTTCAGATTTTGTGGAATATTATGCTTTTCGTGGAAGCATGCCATCAGCGAATGGATTTACGAAGTGGATGTGCGCCACTTCATCTTGCATGGCAGCGTTTGAATGATCCTTCTTATTCTAACATTTGGAAACAGTAAGTTATTGGGAAATTTCAGGTAACATGCACAAAATTTACTTTTGAAAATGTCACAGTTTTAAAACAGTGTAAATCATTCAAACAGCAGTTTTCATTCATCCAGTTTGAAATGAAAAATATATTAATTGTAGTAGTCTGCAAAATAAATTATCTATGTTGACAAAAGTTAAGGGTAATGGTGGTGTATTGTTTAGAGTTGCAGTGTATTAATCGTAGGCTTCGGGTTCGATTTCGGGACTACGTTTGTAGAGTTCAGTAATATAGGCGATGATGGTATATGGGTAATTTGCGTCTGAAACTGTTGATGTACAATTAATAGTTACGCTGAGCCTCCGTTTTGTCATTTTCCAAGAATTGAATAAGCTAATAATTAAAATGCCATGTGAGTAAGTGTCGCGAGATTTCTCTATCAAGTTGAGAAAGGCCATTGCATACATGCATATGTGATAAGGTAACGAATAACTAAAATTAATTCAGGTGGTCCACAGGTTTGTGTCACATTGCAACTGCCATCGATAAAGTATGGATGACTGACAGGAAAGCGTCAGAACGTTATTCTCATTTTCACAACCGTTGTAGCTTTTTTAAACCATTCCGGAGCTATGATAAATGGAAAAAGGTTGTCTTATTTGCATTTATTCATTTATGATTTGGAAGCATGCATATTCCTTTTTTTAGCATAAAAATTTGTCAGATTGTCTTGGTTCTTCTAAAACTACGATAAATAATAGGTTCTTACTTCCTATTTTTCTGGACTAAATTTTTCAAACATCAAAAATTTTGCAAAAAGATTCACTAAACTCTAGTGAAACAGTTTATCCTCTTTTTTACAGTATGAAGACGAGCTGGAAGAACTAACTGTAAGCAGAATTACAGTGAATAATGAAAGCTCTTTAATACAGCAAGATACTACTGAAGTGGGAAAATGTCATGTTGATAAGAATAGTGTTTTAAGCGTAACATTGAAACTAATGACGGACCTTTTCTGTGGTTTTGCTGTTTTGAATAGTCGTAATGGAAAACAGGTAATTGGTTGGTTTTTTGTAAATAGTGTAGCAGTTGAATTAAAACGGAGTAGTTTGGTGGTTACATCATAGATTTGTTGTATAATTTTGATAAAATACAAATATATATAATGCGTGCTACATACTGTGACTCACATATGAAAACATTCTTTATGCAATGCATTGCATGTACTGCTTTATGATGCTGCGGGTGCATCTTATTAACTATTTCTTTTTTATTTTGCAGATGCTGTTGGAGTTATTGTCAATTTCATCGCATTATCCTGTTGAGCTTTGTCGCTTAGCATGGTTAAATCTTGAAGATGAAAAATGGTCACAGATTGCTTATTTTACCCAATATCTTTCCTCGAACTTTGCTGTTCAGGAAATTCCGATTGCATGCAAAGTAAGTTAATAAAATTTGTTTAAATCGAGCCATAGTCTTCTGGTGTGAGGATTATATGATGGATCTTGAACTGTTGAGATCAAAGAACATTCTAAACGATTTTATTTAATGGACAGAAAGATATCCTCATTATTTAATGCTTCGGCTTGTGCTATACGAAGATAAGGAGATAAGTGTCTGATGTTCGGCAAAGAAAGACAGCTGTACAGCTAGTAATTAATACTGCTGTTGTTATGAAAAGGAACTGTTAAATCATGAGAGGTGCATGGATTTCAGTACAATACGAGATTTCATAATTAAATGTTATTCTTTCCAGAATAGTGATCTAGCTTGGGTCACTTTGGGTGCGGAATTATTCTCATCAGTATGGCGTTCGATGGGTTTTCAATTATCTTCGCAGGAGATTACGCTGGCACAACTTGAGGATTTTCCGATTCAGCAAAAACATTTATGTATTCATTTCTGGAAGATTGGTGCTCACTTGAAATCGTTTAAATCGAAATACAGGTTAATTTGGCTTTAACCATATCATCTTAGCTGCAATGATTGTTTTAACAATAAAGTCTCATCGATATAAGATTAAGTGAAGGTTTTACAAAGTTTGACTTTTTGTCTGCTCTAGCATGGAAGGAAAATTGGTTGCGCTAAGGAATATGACTTCCGCCTCACTGCCTGCCTTATTGTGATTAGAGATTGACACTATTGGACAGTAATGGAATGGAATACTCTTTGAGGCATATTTATCATGTATTGTTAAAAGCTCAAAACGGGAGAAGCAGTTCTTGATTTAACTAATTAGTAGTAATTAGAATTACGAAATGAACCAACGGTAAATCATTTTAGAGCAGGTGAAAGTTTTGGCGGTTAAAAGTAATCAGATTCTTCAAGAATATTGCTTAGCAGTTATTGGTGAAATGTGGGATTTTCAATAAGTGTGTTATTTTAGAGAAAGGCTTCTGACTGTGATTGATCATTTCGAATCATTGTTGGATTCACCATCTCTTACTAATTCATCTGCCAATGTTAACTTGTCGAGTTTAATGCAACGACTGGAAATAACCGCTTGTTTATTGTTGCCACTATCGATCCCGGCAAAGAACTGTATTGACCCGGTGTTGAACGATGAAATGAATTTCAGATATTTGATGAATAAGGCAAGCGTCATTCGCGCACTTTTTTTTTGTCAGGAAAAAAGTGAAAATTCCCAGCATTTTATTACTTTTTGTATTTCTTCAATGTTACTTTGACATTCCTAAACTTTCTAAAATTTTCTGGATATTGAAAAAATATTCATTCAATTTTGTTTCTTTTCTTACAGCGACTAATGATTTGAATTCAGAAAAAATTGCTTGAAAATATTATTGGCGTTTTACAATCCTATCAAGGAGTAGTTAGTGGGCAAACAGATTTGGCATTATTTTCAAATTCCAAGCATCCGTTCATCAATGGCCTCTTAAATACGTATAATTCTGTGACGAAGGAATTGGAAAACTATTCGCAAAATACAGTTTCTTTTCGTCCTCGATATACAGATGTAAGTTTTGAAATTAAATCCAAAATCACAAAAGCTGTTTTTGCTTCTTTGAAACAATTTACATACAGAAATCTTTTTTTTTTTTAGTAAATTATTACTTTGCAGTTGCTTAGTACTGCATATTATATTTACTGCCATTTTTCGAAGAATGAAATGCTGGGTTACTTTTGACCCAGAAATTGGTTTTAAAGCATTAGTTAGACTAACTTTTTCTTAATCCACAGTGCCTAGAATTGTACTTTGCTTGGCATAACAATCCATTTCATTCTATATATATATATATATATATATATATATATATATATATATATATATATATATATATATATATATATATATATATATATATATATATATA